TTGTTTTGTCCTCTGAAGCTGTACATGTGTAAGTCATATGTCCATAAAATTTTTGACCAATTCTTTTTTCCTCATGTTCAGTATTTATCCTTTCTTGTTGACTTTTTTTAAAAAAAATATTTTAAAATTATTTTTGAAGTAAGTTTTTATTGATCTCATCAACTTTCAACTCGGATGTACTCCATTAAAAACCACAAACCTGCATTATGCAAGTTCTTACTGGGTGTATTTTGATCATTTCTTAATGAATTGTTTTTGATCTTTAACCTGTGACGCCATTGGTGCAGGAAACTGCCCGAGTGGACTCTTCCTCCACTGATGCAGGTCAGCAACTCATTTGGTGGCACGGAGAGATTAAGTGACTTGTGGGAACGTCTCACAGCTTGTCTGTATCAGTGGTGGGATGTGACTACACTACCTCTGGGCTCTGTCAGCCCTCTATTCACTATATTGTGCTACCTCTCAATGGATGTTGCTCTGTGGTATTTTATGTTGAATGAATATAACTTTTGTTCCGCACCCCTCATAGTGATAATCTTCTTTAGCACCTGAAAATGTCTTTTTCTTCCAATGGATTTTAGTAATATGCCCTGCTGACTTCTCCTGAGAAACTCAAAGTCTTTCCCATTCATTACTAAACTGACCATCTTTCTTTTCCTCATCTATGACACTCCATTTCCTGTCTCCCTCCTTTTATACTGGCTTGGAATATACTCTCCTTACTTTAGCCTCGTGAATATAGCCTTTACTTGGGGCCACTGGTCCAAGACCTGAGCTCAAATTGAACCTCAGACAGTAGCTGTGTGACCCCGGGCAAGTCACTTAACCTAAGTTTCCTCTGTAAAATAGGGATAATAATAGCACCTATCACCTAGGGTTATTATGAGAATCAAATGAGAGAATAATTATAAAGTGCTTTACTCAGTGTCTGGCACACAGTAGGCAGCTAGGTGGTGCAGTAGATAGAGTGTTGGGCCTAGAGCCAGGAAGATCTATCTTCTTGAGTTCAGATCTGGTCTCAGCCACTTACTAACTGTGTGACCTATGGCAAATCATTTAACCCTGTTTGCCTCAGTTTCCTCATACGTAAAATGAGCCAGAAGAGGAAATGGCAAATCACTACTATATTTGTTAAAGAAAACCCCAAATGGGGTTATGAAGAGCTGGACATGACTGAAAAAAGTGACTGAACTGAAAGTACTATATAACTGTTACTAATTATTATTGTTAAATCCCTCTCATCTGTTAAGAGGCAGTATAAGCATCATTTTCATTTATCCCTGAACTGCCAGTGCCCTCCCTCCCAAACTACTTTGTATTTAACCACTTTGCTAGTATTTGTATATGTTCACTTTATATTTATGCTGCATATTTCATATTGTCTCCCCCATTAGAATGTAAGTTTACTGAGAATAAGGATTATTTTACTCTTTGTACCTTATGTCCAGTACCTACCTCAGTGCCTGACACATAGCAGACACTTAATAAATGCTTGCTTGTTGATTGATGTTGCACAACAGACATTTGAGTGTGCTCCAGGATGAACTTGGGGATGCTAAAGATCTGTCTAGTATGGACTCCAATAAATTATGGCTGTGTTGGGCATTCCTTGCAGCCAGTTGTGTGCATTGCTGCAAGGATGTGCTCTAGGCTCTCTAGGGTGTTGTAGACTCTTCAAGGCTTTCAGAACTTCTGAGGATTCAAGCCTGCATTATGGCAGGCCCTGGACCGTAGCTGCTTTTGGAGCATATTTGAGGTCTGGTCCTAATCTAGGGACTTGGCTACATGGGGGCTGTGGGAGCAGGGCAGTTTCAGGGCTGTCTAAGAATTCTGATCAGGGCAAGAAGGCCCTAGAACCATTCCAGACCTCAGAGAGTTCCTCTGAGATTTGGGGACTAACTGTAGGCCACAATGGGAAACATAGGACTTCTGAGCTTGTTTTTAGTTCATAAACAAATCTTAACAGTGGTCTTGTCTTTTGCACAGCTACTGTCTAAGACTACCCAGGGAGCAGAGGAATCAGTTAGAGAGAGCTTGCAAAAAGCCAAAAGCAAGCATATGGAAAGATTGCTGGAGGCCTAGCTTCAGATCTCAATTCTGACATTAACTGGCTGTGTGACTGTGGGCAAGATACTCTAAGCCTCAGTTTCCTTATCTATAAAATGGGGATAATAAAGCTTGAATACCTCCCTGGCAGGATTGTTGAATAGAGCATGTTTTATAAGTCTTAAAATGCTATAAATATTTATATATCTGAGATGATTACTGATATGGGCACTTTGGTTATGTGGCAAATTGCAGCTTGGTCAGTTCTTGGGAAAGACCATTAAACTGTTCTAGTTCTTTCTATCACATTCTTGATAAGTAAATAAATGTGAGATAACAATAATGGAATTGTAATGTGAATCTTGGGGTTGGAAAGTCAACCTTAGACCCAAATATAGCCTTTGCTTGAACACTTGTAATGATTGAGAATTCACTATTTCAAAAGGCAATCCCTTTCATTTACCAGAAGCTCTTGTAACTGAAAAGTTCTTTTGGTTTGTCACTAACTGTTGGTTTAATTATTCCAGTTTCCTAGATACAAAAGAGTTGCTTTTTTGGTGCCCAGAGTGACATAGTGTGGGATGGGAGAAGAGCCCTTGGTCTGGAGACAAAAGACTTGGGTTCTAGTCCAGGCCACTCCACCTGCTACTCATTTGACTTTAAGTAAGTTATTTGATCACTCTGGCCTTAGTTTCCACATCTGTGAAGTAAGGGAGTTAAATTAGAGGACTTCTGATATCTCTTCCAACTAGAAATCTATGAAACTAGTCAGTGGAAAAGCTAGATTGTCTGGTTGTTGATTTACATTCATGATCTATTTTACTATAGTGATAATAATAAAACAATGATCAACATTTATGTAACACATTGAGGTTTACAAAGCACTTTATTAATATCCTGAGGCTGATTTTTTTCCTAAAGAAAGACAATGATTAATTAATAATATACACAGATAAACAATATCCCAGGGCAGCTAGGTGGCGCAGTGGATATAAAACACTGGCTTGGAATTAGGAAGATTCATCTTCATGAGTTCAAATCTGGCCTCAGACACATGCTAGCTATGTGACCCTGGGCAAGTCACTTAACCCTGTTTGCCTCAGGTCCTCACTTATAAACTGAGTTAGAGAAGAAAATGGCAAACCACTCCAGTATCTTTACCAAGAAAACCAAGTCTGAAATGACTTTACAACAACATATGAGGTCCAAGCTAGTATTTTTTCAGTCTAGAGTTAGAATAGAGACCAGTTTTTCATATGTTTGTATATAGTGTATTTGTTGTTCAGTCATTTCAGTCACACCTACTCTTCATGACCCTGTGACACCTAGCTGTCCATATGATGTGTGTGTGTATATATGTATATATATATATGTATATCTATTATCATCCTATATTTATATTCAGAGGTGTGCTGGCAAATATTTAACAGTGGACTCCAATAAAATATATGCCTACTGTACTTTTGAGTTTAATCTTCTTTATTAACATTTTCTCCATCACTCTCTTAAGTGTAGACAATCAACAAAACAATAAATCAAGACCTGATTTGTAGTGTTTGACAATTGCTGAGGTACAACCACTCACAATGAAAATTTAACGGTTGGCTTTTGAGAGTCAATATGAGCTAGCTCCAGCACACTCCCATTTATCTCTCTATATAATTTATAATTATTTTATTAAGGGTGTTCCAAAAGTCTTAGTGCAGTTTTAAGCTTTAATAGCTTAGTGAAGTCTAAGACTTTTGGGATATGCTGCATATCTCTATCTAAACCACATATATCTACATCTGGGTCTCTGCAGATAAAGAAATACATTTGTATGTAACAACTAAAATACAAAATACAAGCTACCTTCAGAAAAATGGGTCAAAACTCCTTGGCTCCTGTGACCTAAGTCCTTTTCTGTAGGAAAATGGTTGGTGTTGGTACAATATGTCTTCTTAGTAAAGACTTATTATGCTTTATAAAAACACTATTGCTAAAATGGCTTCTTTACCAACTTATCCAATTGCAAGGGAAGGGAAAGGAGTGAGCATTTAGATAGCACCTACTATGTGCCAGGTACTGTGCTAAGCACTTTTTACAAATATTATCTCATTTTGTCTTCAAAAACAAACCAGAAAAGTAGGTCCTATTATTTTTCCCTTTTTACAGTTGAGGAAACAGAGGCAGACAGAAGTTAAATTACTTGCCCATGGTCATACATCTAATGTCTGAGGCTGAATTTGAACTCAGATCTTCCTGACTTTAGATCTACTGCTTTCTCTATTGAGCCACTAGCGTATTTCAAATTTCAATAAAACAAAATATTGATTTAAAGATAATTCCAACTGCAACTTTGAATATATTAAAAAACTACTCATAGGTCAGACATATACAATATCTGGTCCTAGGCAACTGTGGGAATTAGAATTGGCTCTATTTTGTTTGCTCAGTTGTAAGGGATATCCTAGAAAGAACCCATGCTGTAGGCTGGAGATTGGATGAGGTGATATCTAAATTCCCTTTAATTCCAACAATTCTTCTATGAGTTGCTGTGTTTAGATGGTGAAGGCATAACCATGAAGAAGTCAGCTTGTTGGTTTTTAAATTTTTTTTTGGTAATCTGGCATTAGGATTTTTTAAAAAAAATTTCCTCTATAGAAAACACTGAAATAATGTTCACTGAATTGAAGAAATGCTTGATGGTGATTTATAGAATAGACATTTCTTTCTGGTTTACTTTTTTTAAAATGTGAATTATAACATCCAAATGAAAGGCAAAAAAAATAATATTGTTAAACTCAAGTTTTAAAAGTGCAATTTAAACTTTTTTATCAGCACATTTATATTTTTATAGATTCTCCTTAATATCTATAAGAACCCACCATTTCCATATAATCATCCTTTAAAAAAAAGAAGTAATTAGTATGTAAGGAGCAGGTTGCAATTACTGGGTAAAAAGGAAAACTTACCATTAAAATGACCAGAGTTCCCGCAGTACTTAAAGCAAGCCAGCCCATGGCTTCTGATTTCTCCTGCAAACAAATCCCAGTGAGCGGCTGTTTTGGTCCTAGTCTATGGAACTTTTTGAAATGGAAACTTGGAGAAGCTGGATCTCAGCAGTGTGTCTGCTCTCTTCTCCTCAAACGTACACATGCAACTGTTATGTGATTCTCCACCCTAAAACTTTGGGTTGGTCTCACCTGAAAGACTTGCATCATTTTTGCTTCCAGGTAAAACCTTAGACACACCTCATTTCTTGTGAATTGAATCCTTTGATGGAAGCTGAAAGGAAATTTCACAGGCTGTAGACAAAGTGTAATAGGAAGATGCCAGGTGAATAATAAATTCATCACATGGAAATGAAAAAACCACCCTTGATGACAATGAGAAAGAAGATGCCAAGTTTCTCCTTTTGGTTAGACTTTTAAAACTAAAAAAAAAAAGACTGTTTCTATATAAAATTTGGACATACGTACAGTATAAGAACACATAGGGGCAAAAAGTTATATAAGATAAAAGTTTCTGGAAAAAAAGTTTAAAAAAGATTCAAGGAACCAGAAGAATATGTCGGCTTAAATAGTTGAAATGAGCTCAGGTCTTGGAATCAGGAGATCTGGGTGAATCCTATTATGGCATTTACTAATTCAGTGACTTGACCCCTCTGAGTCTCAGTTTTCTTATCTACAAAATAGAGAAAACAACATCTGTAGTTACATACCTCTGGGGATTACTGGGAAAACCAAATGAGATAATGTATTTAAAGTTCTTTGCAAACTTTAAAGCACTATATCCACAAAATAGTATCATTATTGTATAATTGAGTGGTCATGTTTTACATTTTTTACATTGATTTTATTACATTAGTAAATTATCAGACATAAAATTGAAATGGAAACTCATGTTCTACCTTGGAAACATTTGGAATTATAAATTAATAAACCAAGTAACTGATGCCTGCAGTTTTTTTTTTTTGATGAGGCAATTGGGGTTAAGTGACTTGCCCAGGATTACAGCTATATGTCTAAGGCAGGATCTGAACTCAGGTCCTCCTGACTCTAGGGCCAGTACTCTAACCACTGTGCCACTTAGCTGCCCCTAATGCCTGTAGTTTTTCTAGCTACAAAGAAACTATTTAATCACAAACTCTTAGGACTGGAAGGGGTTCTCTAGTCCAGCGTTTGACCTGAATCTCCTTTGCTACTTGCCTCTTTTTCCTTTTCAGGCTGTCCACATCTTTCTCTTTTCAGCTCTGGTGCTCAGAACAGGAGACAACGCTTTTGGGAGGAGGATCTGGTCTGAGTTGATTCTAACAGGAGAATTAGCTCATCCCTTTCTTTGGAAGCTGCCAGCTCGGACTAGAAATTTCACAAGAACAGGCTTGAGGTTTTTTGCAGGTTTTTCCAGCAGTACAACTGCATTTTTTGTTGATATTCTCATCTAGGATCAGGAAGTGATTGGCTATGTAGCTTTTCATTTTAATCTTTCTTTTTTTCTTTTCTCATTCCTTTTTTTCCCCTTTTCTTTTTTTAAACTAACATGAAAAGATGGAAGCCTAGGGCAGAGTTTCTTTATTTTAAACAAAATCTTAAAGCTGCCTTTTGGTTGTGTACAAAGGAAGATATAGGTGGTAGGATGATATGGGCAGGTAAAGGATATTACAGGATCTTTCAATGATCAGTATCATGGAGAATTTAGAAACAGAAAGCTCTTGCCAGAGGACTTGCTGCAGCCAGCCGTTTGAATTCTGGGCTAAATTTATGAGACTCATGTTTATATGTCTAAGCACATGGGGACTATTTTCCCTCTCAGGGAATGGGTGGGGCCCAAGGATTTGCAAAGAATGGTTTGGATCTGGTGGGAGAAAAAGGATAATTCTGGAAAGTTCTAGTATCTTGCATCTTCTCTCTTTTCTTTTTCTCTCTGCCCCACTGTCCACTATCCTCTCATCCTTCCCTTCATTTTCTCCTCTCAACCTGCCCTATTACATACCTCCCTAATGTGTGCTACGGCCTAAGTGCTTTGCTGCTGTTTTCCATTATTACCAACATAATATCTCTCTTTCAACAACAGCTCATAATCTCCCCCTCTCTCTGAGCCTCAGTTTACTTATCTATAAAATGAAGTGGTTTGGCTAGCTGACCTCTAAGGTCCTTTCGAGTTCTAGGTCGTTGATGAAATGATTCTCTTGGGCAGTGGTGATTGGAAATGTCTTTCTGGTTTTGTATATTTTTCATGTCATAGTACTCTTTGCAAAGCTGGACTTCTTTTTGTTTCTTTTAGTAATATTAACTGTTTCCTTTGCCCCTTTCTGGATGAAGTGAGGCCTGGGTGGGGATTGGTCCTCTCTGTGTCATTCTGAGCTGCTTTGGCCAAATGGGGGAGTGAAGTTCTGGTGTCTATTCAGGGGCTAAGATTACATTGCTTTGATCACTTCAATTCCTTTTCCAAAAATCTTTAAGATTGCCAACTAAATTAATTTCAAACACTTTAGCTTGACATTCAAAAGCCCTCTATGATATGGTTTCCGTTCACATTTCCAGTCTTCAATTCCACAACACCATTAAATGTTCCTATGTGCATCTTCTACTCTAGCCAAGCACTAATGCTGGTGAATCTCCAAATATACACTATGTTTTTCTATCTCTTCAGTTTTGCTTGTGCTGTTCATTTTACCTAGAATACTTTCTGTGCCCCATACTTTCCCCAGATCTACTTCTCAAAGTACAACCCTAATCATGGTACTCTCTTTTTTTCAAGCTCTGCCTGCCAAAATCCTACCCATACTTCAAGGGACAACTCAAATACCATTTCTTTTATGGAACTTTCCTGATTTTCCTGGGCTAATTGTGATTTCTCCTTCTTCTGACATTCCAGAGTATTTATTTGTATTTCCCTTGTGGTACTTTCATACTTTACCCTATATTACAATGAACATTATTTCTGTACTAGTTGCCATCTAATCAATAAATCAGTCAGTTAATCAATACTCCAATACTACATCATTGTACAGAAGAAATTCTGGGTTCTCAGAGGCTGTCAGGGTAACACAAACTCTAACAAACCTGACCAAATTGATCAAGTTACAGACTGTGACATTTGTTTTCTGAGGATCACTCAAGTCTATATCATGTTATAGTCAGTTTAAGGTAAGTAAATAGAAGATGGTCATAGATTTATATTTTATCAGGTCATCTAGCCCAACTCCCTCATTTTACAATGAGACACTTGAAGTGTAAGAAGGCATTTGCATGCTAAGTCGAGTTCCTAGCATAATGCCTGGTCTATAATAGGTACTTGATAAATGTATGTTAATTAACTGTCTATAGACCATAGTGTAAGTTTGGGATTTAGAGCAGCCCACCTCATTTTTGCTCTAATGCTTTAACACATCTCAGTCAAAGACCAAAGCCATCATTTTGGGAAGCGTCTCCCTGTGGAGATGCAGCCTGGCATAAGCACCTGTAGGTACCACAGCCACTGAAGACCTGGAAAATAAAGTTCTTGTCACCAAAGTTCTTGGCACTCTCAAATGGTTCCACATCAGAACAGATATCATTTTATCCATAGAAATGATATTAAAGAAGAGACATCTACTTTGCCATTGCACTTTAAGGGCCATGGGATTTTTCCATCTGATTTTTTTCCAGCTGAAACCTTTCACATGTATTAGAGTGTGAATTCCTTGAGAACTGGGACTGTCTTATTCTCCTATTTCTATACCCAGTCCTTAGCTTGCACATAGCAAGCACTTAATAAATACTTGTTCGTTCATTCATTCAATGAATCAATCAAAACACTTTGGATTAAATGCAAAAAAGGCCTTTGAGCTAGGAGAAAATAACTCAAGAATCCTGTTGGATAAGCTAGGGGAGTTTGGCCCCACACTGGGGACCATCAAATTATCAAAGAAGTTGAGAATTCATGGAATTCTAGGAATCAGAGTTGGTGTGGAATTCCGGCTGAGCCCCTTGAGAAAGATTGAGCTGAAGAAAAGAGAAACCAGGGGCAGGTCTTCTTTCTCTCCCCTAGACCCATTTTGACCAGAGGAGTACAAACTCTAGCTTTGAAGGGCCCAGAGGATGTTGGCCTGCCCATCTTCTCATTGGTGTCCTATACAGTGCCTTGGCATCAGTTCACGGCAGTGTCTGCGTTATTGAGAGCCAAGGAGAGACTGTAGTTCTGCAAGGAGCCCAGCAAAGAGACTACACTGTGCAAGGAGGAAGTCTTGAGCATCCTGCAAAAGGGAAAAAAGGATTTCTAGCATCCAGGAACCATGAGTTACAGTCTCTAAGCTTGAGCCCATTTTCTCTGGACTCTTTACGTACCTGGGGAAGTGTATATCACAGACTTCTTTAAGGGGGTTGTTTTGTACCAGCTATATTTATTGTACTACCTTAGAAAAGATCTCTAAAAGCTGCTTAGAGCTACTAAATGATTTTCAACTGATAACCTTGGGACAAAACACACCAGTTGGGGCTGAAGCTAACAGCATTAGAGAAAATCTGGTATGATTTCTCATAGGTACCGTTAGAAACCTGAGTCTAGATCTGGGACCCCAGCTTGATATTGAGAGTGGAAGCTAGGATGAGGAACCTCAAAGCTTATATGGGCATACATATAGAGCTACAAAAGACCTTAGAAGTTATCTAGTCCAATTCTCTCATTTTATAGATGAGGAAACTGGGGCCCAGAGAAGTTAAGTGATTTGCCCAAGGTCACACAGGAAGTAAGGGGCAGAGTCAAGATTAAAACCCAGGTCCTCTGACTCCAAAACCTGCATTCCTTCTACTACTGCCTCAAGACATGCACAGAACTTGTATATTGAGAAAAGGAATGAAGGGATTACAATCCATATTGGGGAAAGGAGTACATACACCAATGGGATGACAGGTCTTGAACAAGAGGCAAATGCTGTACAATACGACAATTATGGTAATAATTTTAGGCATTGAAAATCACAGTTTCACCCCTTCCTGGAAACCGGAACATGTTTCATCTACTATGGACTATTTAGTCTCTTCATTTATGCAAATGAACATGTAAATCTCTTTCAGGTTCTCCCTTGGTATTTTTGGGTGTTCATTATCTATATTGGTCTTCTAGTAATAAAGTATCTGAAATGGAAATAATTGTGTTGCTATTATCATTTTGACTTGAAATATTCAGATTATATTTCTTATATGAGAGGCCTTACCAGCTTTGGGCATTTCCCTGCTTTGGATTGCTCATGTAGATCTACTTTAGTACCTTAGCTTATTAAAGAGCATGACAAAG